CTCAATGAATCGCCAACGTGTAGCTCTTGATTGAATCCATTGAAACGAGTGTCAAAGTACATAAATCCTCTAATGAGATAACCATAATGACTTTAAGTCAAAAGACCAATCGTGCCCATCTCGTATAAGATTCCTATGAACTAAAGTAAAAAGGTTCTCATAGCGAGTCAAGTCTAGTAATATATTATCTAACATTAATCACCTTTGGCATTACTATGTTAATAAGTATGAGATCTCCTACTACTATCTTATAGCATTAGCATAAGCACTCATATGTCTTTTTGTATATAGTCAATATTCATTCTTGACAAGACATTTAATAATATCTTTAAGTACATTAATGTTTATCTCATATCTTTTAATCAATCATTAATACAATACATATTATAATGGTTTCTATCTAATTCTATCAAAATATAAACAATAAGGATCAATAGAAAGACTTTTTTATTAATAAAATAAAGAATGTAATATTACAATAAGTCAAACCATTCAAATAAGATTGGATCTTGGGTATCTACACTAATAGGTGATAGGAGGAAAGAAAGGTTGAAATAGTATTGAAGTTGTCAATGTTATTAAGAAAAAGTCTAGTCATAACCATGTTGATTTAGAGATCAAGGAACCATGTATTGAGGTCTCTAGATTCTAAACTAAAGAAATTTATAATGAGAGAGACTTGGTATTCGTATGAGGGAGAAGCAAATTACAAGAGGTAGATTTATCAAGTTTGACAAAGTGAAAAGTTCATTCTAAGTAGTATAAAGAGTAGGCAAGCATTCGTAAAAAGTTAGTTTATCTAGAGCTTCATCTATGTCGATCACATTCGAGGAGATTATTCTTTTTTCTTACCAAGTAGATATAGAAAATAAAGACTAAAACATAAATGTTGACTTTTCTCCAATCGAAGGAGCATGACACGAAATGTCTAAACTCCAACATGGTTGAATATTTCAAAGCCTTAAAAGGTCAATAGACTTCGGGCCATCTATCTATATTTTTAAAAATTTTATCGTTTAAATTTTTTTAGTTGATGCTTAGAGGAAAGGAAGAGCATTCGACGCCTTTAAAGTGCTTAAATCAAAAAGAGGCCTTCATGAAGATTAAAGAGGACATCTTAAGGATTCTAAGTTAGGTTTATTTATACAAATCCTACTTGGTTTAGGTGGTCAAAAGTTAATTTTAAATCATCTTGTGAATTAGTAAATCTACCAAACTTGAGTACAAGTTAGTGTTTAATTCATATCTAGAGTTACAAGTATAGGATTGATACAAATCTAAATCCTAATGAAATAAGACATCCAGATCTACAACTTTCATTATAACTTAGATATAGAATATGTCGTATACAAGTCCAAAATCCATATGTAAGTTTTTATATAAATCCAGTTCGAAAATAAAATTGATTGAAGAGGTGGAAGAATCTTATAGAAGTTGGTTTTCCTATTATATAGGAATTATTTCCTATAGGAATCTTATACATTTAAAGATTTTTACTTATGTGGATCCATCTTATTGGACTAATTATGAAGTCCCTAAATTAAATATGGATTATATATGAGAGTTATCTTCCCTTTATAGTGTTAGGGTTCAACTATGACTAGATTTTATAGTCTTCTTGGGCAAGTTTTACTAGGGTAGTTAGTCGTTGGGAGTAGTATAAATAGTAAGGATTGTACTACATCGTATTGGAATTTACTTTTTTTAATTTTATAAAGACTTCTTTACAAACACCTAAATATTTTGGCCTTATTTTCTTCTTGTATCATTGTCAAATTACTTACGACTTTAGAAGGAGATCTACCGAGATTAAGAAGCCATTGCAAGGGTTATTGCTTGTTGACTTTGAGAGGTAATAACTTAATCTTGTTTGAATAGCTTGATAAGTTATTCATTCATTTTATAAGTAACTTTTATCTTTGCTTGTAGATCTCAAGATTGCATATTTGGACTTCTATGTTTGTACTTTGTACATGATTAAATTGATTGTGAAAAGTAATCATACTTAGTCTCTAGGCTTGGAGGATTCAGCCTACATTGACCATAGGATTGTGATTATCTGTTTCATTTGAAACTCTATAATGCGTATCGTTAAGGCTTGGTTAGAGGATGTACAAAGTTTAGTTATAATTAGATAAATGAGGATAGGGTGGCACAAGCTTTGAAGTATTTTAGGAATTAAGGATTACTTAAACTAGTTATTGCAATTAGTTCCATGCTAAGGTTATTTATGGGGTAGGCATATAACTACTTGTCCTTATTATTGATTATTAATTTTGGCTAAAAAGACCACTAGGGAAGGGTTCGACCTTTATTGATTCGTGTCTATCTTGTATTTTTTTATTGAGCTTTCCCAAGGTTTGGTGGTCTCTTGATAAAATTGTATCAATCGCTTCTTATTCTTAAGAGCACACTCCTTCTCTTCCATCATGGCATCTAAGGCTTACCATTTATGACACTATCACCACCGATATAGTTTGTCATAAAAGTAACAACTCTTGGACTTGAACTCTTTCTTGTCTTTATCTTTGGCAAAGCCTTTAGACTCATATCATTTGTCATACCCATCCTTATACCCCTTCTTTTTTTAAGTTCTCCCATCTCTACTCTTGAATTCTTTCTTAGGCTTGAAGGGTTCAATTTTCTTCTTATATTCTATTAGAGATTCAACTATAGTCACGAGCTTCAACGAAGGTCTTAGGTCATCAACCTTGTACCTCTTGTTATGCTCATTTTTTAAGTTTCTTAATAAAGCCATACATATGATTATAGTCAAGTTTTCCATGTACTTAAATTTCAAGGGAGACATTTTTTCTAACATACTCGTGAATGGTTCTTATGTGCTTTAAGATTTATGGCATGTCTTGTGCTTTCCAATCTACTTCTTTGGGATAGAACTAAGCATAAACAGCTTTTTTAAACGTAGCTTAATTATGTAGCTTGCGATTTTCGTCTTTCAACCCTTAGTGTTTCATGCGTCACCAAAGAGCAGCATCCTTTATGAGGCATATGATAGTGGTCTTGACATGACACATATCCTTTATCAAGCTCATTGTCGTAAAGTATTTCTCTTCTTGCCAAAAGAAAGACTTATTTGGCCTCCCACTTGCTAGCGTAGTACCATGGCTTTAGCACTTAAACTTTTGATATGTCTCTTAAGACTACATAATTGGTTATAACTTTATTACAAATCACCTTTAAGTTCTTCGAGAGTTTGCTTATACATGACCATTACCTCCCGATATTTTGTAAGAACTCCTTTAGTCCAATCGGTGAGAGCATCCTTTTAGATAGTTTTTTTTTTTTTTTTTTGACATACCTTTCAACCGACTCTACTAGAGTTTAGAGGTCGAAAGTCACCTCACAGAGGCTTGTCATGCCTTGTGCCTTTTGCTCATCGTCCCCTCCATCACCTTGAATCTCACCTTGAATTCAACAAGGTGCTCCTCTTCCCTTACAAGGCATTCCTTAAAAATAGTCATTACATCGTAAGACTTCCCTCTACTCTTCTTGGGTTGAGGAGGGATAGTGTCCTTTTTAGGATTCACAATGTTGTTGTCAACATCAAAGCTAGGCATACTTATTCTTTGGATACTTAGTTTGCAACTAAATTTTGATACCACTTGTTACGAACTTAGCCTTTTTTATGCTCACCGTGCAACACTTAACTCACTTCTCACTTAAGTTTGGACTAAGTAAGCCTTTTCCTTATACTAAATTCGAAGCAAAAAAGTCAAGCAAAAGAGATGTTATAGAAACTTTTCTCTCAAAATGCTTACAACTCGAGGATGGTTTGACCAAATAAAGGTCTTACCTATTTATACGCTTCTACCACCCAAATAAATGCTTATGATCATTTCAATCCAATGGTTACTATTGATTCTCTAGCACTCTTATTTCTAAATGTTTCAATAAACATTCTAAATATATATATATTAGAATAATCCATGAACTATCTAAAATTATCTAAAGCATGTTTAGATATTTTCTTAAAAAGTTTAGATGCTTCTTCAATATTCTAGAGGCTTTTAGAAGCTTTTAGGTCCATTTGGTATCTTCTTCAAGTCGCTTTAGTCTCTCAAAAAGTTCTTTTATTTTTTAAATTTTTATTCATTTCTCGTGGGATATAACACATTACTCATAAAACCATAAAATAATTATAAATTTCAAATTCCTACGAAACTCTACACACACAAAAAGAAAAAAATATTTATGAATCATAAGATAAAAATTCTTATATTGCACTGAAAAATAAAATTACAACTCTCTGAAATAAAATAAAATAAAATAAAGGACCAAGTGATATGGGAAGGATGAACCTTTCGCTTGCCGGCACATCCAGACACAATTAAACTAGATCAGATTTAACCTAACCATGGTCAAACCATGGAGAAGTTACTGTGTGTTCTATACTTCTATTTTCATCGTACCCCAAAAAAAAAAAAAGTATCGATGCATGTGTTCCAACGTACGTGATGGAACACAACCACAGACCACAAAAATTATAATAAACTATTAATTGGAAAAAATTCATAAAGCTGACATGGCAAAATAATGGCACCCCAGGCGAAAAAAACTGGGTTGGGCTAACGAATATGAGCTCATAGTGTGGATGCTATAACAACACAAATGGCCTGTCGGTCTTTTCCTCTGCACAAACACATACACAACCCAAAAGGCATAAAAAAGAAAATAATCATAATCATAATAAGAAAGAAAATTTACAGTACCAAATCAATTACCACTCCAGTTCCGTCCGCCCTGAGCCCTGAGGAGGTGGCATCTGAGATACTGAAAATTTACAGTACCAAATCAATTACCACTCCAGTTCGGCCCGCCCTGAGCCCCGCCCTGAGCCCTGAGGAGGTGGCAGCTGAGATCCTGAACTTACCTACCTCTCCTTATTTTTTCCAGCCTTTCAGCATCCATTATGCTATCATGGCCTTATCATAAATAATAATTTCTTTCTTCCCTAACAGTCACAACTCACAAACCAAACCATGGAAACCACCACTCTCCGTCACACAATTGGCATCCCTCACTTTCCTTCACCTTCACTCACTAACAATAGCAACAATTCCTCCAAATTACTGCCAAAACGATTCAACTCTCTCCAACCTCCTATTTTCCTTTCTTCTAATTTTCCCACCAATTCCTTCTCTCTTTATCCCAAATCCTCCAATTTTCACCACCGCCTGATCCTTCGCGCCACCAACCACCACCACCAAAATGATCATGACCACGACCACGACCACGGCCACAGCTGTCATCACAATCAGCATCACCATCACGGAGGCCATGATTCGCAACTGACTGGACCCCAAACAGCTCTTCTAAATTTTGCAAAAACACTAGGATGGACGGACTTAGCCAATTTGTTGAGAGAAAACTTGCAACTTTGCTGCTGTTCTGCTGCTCTCTTTATCACTGCTGCTGCCTGCCCTTACATAATTCCCAAACCTGCAGTCAAGCCCCTTCAAAATGCGCTCATGCTAGTGGGCTTCCCTCTCGTTGGGGTACTATTTCCATCCCAAATATCTCTCTTTTTTTTTTTACTTGCAATTCGTTTCATTGATTGATTGATTGATTTCAGGTCTCAGCATCCCTTGATGCACTTACAGAAATTGCTGGTGGGAAAGTGAACATTCATGTATTAATGGCCCTTGCCGGTTTTGCATCCATTTTTATGGGCAATGCTTTAGAAGGAGGGTTACTTCTTGCAATGTTCAATTTAGCTCATATTGGTAACCATTTTAAGTTAGTTGGGAATTTCGAAATCATTACTTTTAAAGTGATGGAATGTATAAAGTTTATTTGTTTTGTTGTTTGCAGCTGAAGAGTTTTTTACTAGTCGGTCAGTGATTGATGTTAAAGAGTTGAAGGAAAATTATCCGGATTCTGCCCTTGTGTTGGATGTAAATGATGACAAGCTGCCTGATGTTTCTGATTTGTCGTATAAAAGTGTGCCTGTGCATGACATAGAAGTGGGATCCTATATTTTGGTCGGAACTGGTGAGGTCTGTGATATTGAACTTATTTAACTTTCTCTCTTGCTGAAGATTTATTGCTAATGTCATGAAATCTCGTTTGAAAGCTAAGCATATTATGTTCTGTTCTTGGATGTGAAGACATGCTTTTAAGCTTTTACGGCTTCATGACATTTCAAGACTATGTAAATTCTTGGATTCAAGTGTTCATGAGTTTAGGTTGTATTAGAACGGGGTCACTAGATTAGTCATGATATGAATGTCAACGTACATCAGAAAGTTTCTTCCTTATCTGAATATTCTGTTTTAACTTCATTATCAAGGTAGACCAGAACTTTCTTGATTTAAGCCTTTCTATTCATCTCAAAAATAAGTCCAATGTTCAGGGGCAGTTAGCAGCTACAGCCACATTTCAACGGTTAGCTTGGTAACTAAACAGTGGAAGTTTGAGTGAAACAAGTTGTAACAAGCAAAAACTCTGATTAATGCAGCATGTCATTTGAGTTATTAGATGGCTGTATTCATGTCATTTATCTTGCTTTGTACTTTTCTTCTTGAATGAATGATATATTGGGACTCAAAGTTTCATAACACTGGTTGGTTTTATGTTTAGGCTGTGCCACTAGATTGTGAAGTTTTTCACGGTGGGGCAACAATTACTATTGAGCACTTGACTGGAGAAGTCAAACCATTAGAGGCAAAAGTTGGAGACATAATTCCTGGTGGTGCAAGGAATGTGGATGGAAGAATGATTGTCAAGGTATGCCATGAAATTTGCTGGTGATTAAATTCTTGCAGAAATTGGTATAAAAAAAAAATTAATGTGCCTTTTATTGGTTTTCTATCAATCTCTTGCAGAATCATGTAGATAAATGATTCAGAGTTGTGTCTGAAGCTTTATTCCTTGCTCTTGACATTGACAGTTTAGATTTTCTGTTATGCTGCTTTTCTTTATGCTCCTTTCTATATTTGACTCAGGCCACTAAGACATGGAAAGAGTCAACACTCAGTAAAATTGTGCAATTGACTGAAGAAGCACAATCAAGTAAGCCAAAACTTCAAAGGTGGCTGGATGAATTTGGTGAGCATTACAGTAAAGTGGTTGTGGGTTTGTCTGTTGCCATTGCTCTCCTTGGGCCCTTTCTTTTCAAATGGCCATTCATGAGCACACCAGGTAAATTGGAGGAAGATTATTTATCTACTTTTATCCTATGCTTAGAAAACCGTTTGTATCTTTGTGTTGAACTTCCTTGTAGTAATGATGTTGTGCCTAAGGAATTGTCATCTTTTTCTAGAGATGGCCTCCCCAACATATGCTTTGATTCTGCTGATAATTACTGAATATCATGCATGCTTTGGCACACTCCTTGTATTCAGGATAGGGCTTTTTTTGGCTGTATTTATTACTCTCGTAGGGGGATGATGCATTTATTTAGATAGGTGAAACCCAGACATCTCTTTAAGGGGATCCTAGATACATTTATCAATTTTTTCTAGGGAAAAAAATAATAATAATAAAAAAGAACCTATACATTTTTGTGAATTTTTTTCATAGATGTTGCAGAAACCATATTGTTTTTGTCATTCTTTTTGTTTTTAAGAAATGAAATATTTTTACATTAAGGCCCATCATAGTAACTTTATTTGCGTAAAATATTATTGTTGGCTTACTAAAAAATTCTAATATATTCGTATAAAGAAAGATAACTAGATAAATAAAAATAATTATACACGTGTGCATTTTATGTGTGTTAATATAGCCATATTTTTTAACTTAATCCCTTTACCCATGCATGTATCCAAATTTACACTCCTTTCTAATCATATAAAGTTTTTATTATATTAACAATTGTAACTATTGTAATTGGAGAAGGAATGAATAACCAAAATGCAGGGGAAAAAGAATAGACAGAATCAGCTAAAGAAAAACAAATAAGAAAGTGGTGGGAGATTGAAATTGTGATAGGAACATTGATATGGCATGGTAATGGCATTTGACGTATATTAGGAGATTAAATGAGTATGAAGTTAAGTTCTTGCAAAAGCACCAGTCGTTATTCTGATACAATGTGTCTTCTTTTCTCAACAGACATGAAACTTCCTCTCAGCCAACCATGCCCCAATCTATATTCCCCCTTTTTTTCTTTTTTTGGGACAAAAAAAATTTTTGAGGGGGCATCACATATAGCAACAATGAACAAGGGGGTCGGTGAATTTTTTGGGTCCAGGGTGGGCCAAGGTCCCCTCCTCTCCCCCTGGTGCTTGTCCAGTGTGATATATGAATCTGCAGTTTGGTACTCTTGTTTTCTCTCAGGAACAAAAATCTCTTTATAGGCTCTTACTTGCTTAAGACCTCAAATCTGCTCCATAGTGAATCTGGAAAACTTGAAAAAACTGCTTTGGTGCAGCAACTTTCTGTAGATAGTCCTTCTAGAAGAATTGATTTCTTTTTGAAGCTTTAAGCCATGATAAGGTTTCCATGTGCTTAACCAAATAAAACTAAAAAAATATTGTTGCTCCTACTAAAATTATTTTGTTGTTTCTTCCCCTTTTTCCTTTGAAACAAATGAAAATATTTCCATTGTTCTGCTTTACCTAGAAGCTATATCAATTTGAGTATTGTGGATTTTAACCAAACAAATTGGGTCAACAGTATGATCCAAGCAATGCCAGAAATTCAAATATTTGCTGCATAGTTGTTGATATCGACTAGTTTTTCTATAGAATTAACACAGTCTAAGTTCAATGCCTTTCTGATATTGCTGGGTTTTTTTTTTCCCAGCTATGATTTTGGTAGTTAGATGCTTATGTGATAGCTCTCTTTCTCTTTCTGAGAACTGAACTACCATAACATTTTTTTGCCACATCTATTCTATTATGTTGACGCTTGTGTTGATCATGCAGTTTGCAGAGGATCAGTCTATAGAGCACTGGGCCTAATGGTGGCAGCTTCACCGTGTGCCTTGGCTGTAGCTCCCTTGGCATATGCCACTGCTATTAGTTCCTGTGCAAGAAAGGTACATGAGAATTACTTACCACAATCACATATGAAACTTAGCCATAACCACATGGACAATTTTATATAATTTTGGATGCAGTAGGTTTAGGGTTCATGTCTGAGTTTAGTAAAGCAGAGATGCTATGTTGTAAGTTTGGGTGCTGGTTGGCATTGTTCTCATGACTCTCGACCTGGAGCCCTGTAACCATTGTCATTTTATATGCATGTGAATGAGTCAGAGTTCCCTGTTTGTATTAGCTAATGTTCTATTTATATTTAATTATGCCCCAAATTCCTGCAGTATTACCACTCTGTGTGCTCTTAAATTAAGCACATGAGATTTTTCCCTCGCTTTTACAACCACATTTTCATTTATCTAATCTAAAGATGATACTAGGTAGTTCTTGTTTGATACATGATGTAATTAATATTTCCTTTTCGAAAATGTTGGAGAAAGAATCTTTTAAATCTGTTAAAACTGGACAAACAATCCGTGGTGGAAGCAAAGCCTTCAAGTTTTGTTAACCCAGTTTCTTACAATTTAAACTTTCATGTGTGCGCCAATCCTGGTTTAACTGTCTGGTAATCTTTGTCTAAAGGGGATATTGCTTAAAGGAGGCCAGGTTCTAGATGCTTTAGCTTCCTGCCACACCATAGCTTTTGACAAAACTGGAACATTGACAACTGGGGGACTTACGTTCAAAGCAATTGAACCCATTTATGGACATTTGATAAAAAACAACAGGAGAAATTTCACTTCCTGTTGCATTCCCAGCTGTGAAAAGGAAGCTCTTGCTGTAGCAGCTGCTATGGAAAAGGGTACTACTCACCCCATTGGAAGGTAATTCTTACAACACTCATAACAATATCAACCTCCTAACACCACCGCCACCCACCCCCCCCCCCCAAAGAAAAATGTGGCTTCTTATTGCTTTTCATTGTTTCCCCTATTGATTTAGTATTGGCTTGATAACTGGAAAGAGTTTTTTCAGCTTATTCGATTTTCTTGAGTTTCTTTTCAACGGTGCTCCATTGTATCTATGTTGTGTCATACCAACCTCTCATTTTGAATTGTTTCTCACTTGTCTTGCTACCCTATCTATAATATGCATGTGCAATTTTGCGTGGAACTCTCTTATTGCACCATTAGATGTTACATATCTGGTAGCAATAAGTGAAAGTTCCTTTTGTGTTCTGGGGGTTTTTCTTACTAGTGAAACCATATGTATATCTTATGTATCTATCAGAGAAAATGTAACTGAGAGGAAGTAGGTTTCTAGGGGTACACCTTCTTAACTGTTTACTAATAATCACTCCTGGGATCTTGATCAGTCTGATATGGAGATGCTTTTGTGGCATATTACAATCCATGTCAAAATTACCTGGTTGGCCCGTTCAATGGTTTAAGTGCTTGGAATTCCTTGTTCCTCTTTTAGAAACTTAGAAGGGGATTCAGAATCTCATTCTTGCATGGCTTGATTCTAGTTGGCCGTAGTTGGAATTAGTTAGTCTATCTCAAAAGTTCAATTTTTATTATCATCTTATCTATCTCATGAACTTAAACCTCTCCCACCTTTTCTGTTTGGTAAATTACAGTTGCGTTTTTGCTTGATACAGAGCTGTTGTGGATCATAGTATAGGCAAAGACCTACCTTCTGTTTCTGTGGAAAGCTTTGAATATTTTCCTGGTAAAGGTCTTGTTGCAACTCTGAATAACGCTGAGGTACTGTCTTTTCTTCAATACACTCAATTCCGCTTCCTTTTGAATTTATAGATAAAGCTGATATGTTATTTCCCTCTTGATTTCCTGTGTTTGGAGTTTCTTTGTTATAGCATGCTGCAATAAGCTTTATTTCTTTGGATAGGTTTCATGCAAATTGGATTCACAATTATTTCTATTTTCTTATAGTCAGGAACTGGAGTGGGTAAATTGCTGAAAGCATCTCTTGGTTCTGTAGAGTTCATTACTTCACTTTGTAAATCTGAAGGTGAATCAAGAAAGATAAAGAAAGCAGTTAATGCATCTTCTTATGGAAGTGATTTTGTTCATGCTGCTCTTTCTGTTGATGAAAAGGTGAGGCTTCATTTGCTAGGCTGAGTTGGTTTATTCTTGTAAGATACCAGTAACCTGCTCTAATCCCAACTTCAAATCTCGAAGGATTTTGTGTCTGTAGATGAAATATCAGTGTTGAATGATCTTAATACTTTTCAACACTTGTCACAAATTGGTAATGATAATATTACCATTTTAGTCGCAAATTCAAGTTAGGTTTAACCTGAACGATTGCTGCTTATGACTTCCTTGTGCTGTTTGCATTTGTTCCTATAACATGATAAAATCAGCTCACAGCAGAAATTCACTTGAACCAGAAACCCAAGTGATTGCTCTTTCACCTTTTACCATATAGAAGTTGATCTAAGTCTTGTGTACATTTTGCATACCTCTCAAGTTTTCTAGTTTCCTAACAACCCTGGGATTCTTTATAGTTTCCTCAAGTTGATCATTGTGATTCAGTGAACAACCTGAACCAAACAAACGCTCTAAGGCCTTTTTTTCAAGTTTCTTAACAACCCTGGGATTCTTTATAGTTTCCTCAAGTTGATCATCGTGATTCAGTGAACAACCTGAACCAAACAAATGCTTTAAGGCCTTGTAGAAACTTGCTCTGTCACAGAAAGACTCATTGAGGAATAGGCTGACTATAGTGCAGCCTTTTGTTAAAAGGATGATACTAGGCAAAACTATGTTCCTTCTAGGCTCTTTTGTTATGCACAGAGAATGAGAGGAGAAAGTGGCTAGGTAATGCTCCTCTGTGAAGCCTAAAATAAAATTATATGCAAAGGCCATTACCGAGTTGGGATACCCCACCAAGATAAGGTCTTGCTAGATAAAATTTGTAAGTATTCCTGTAGCACTTTTGCATGAAATGAGTGCTCAGAATTGAATCTTGCAGCTTGTGATTGTAAGCCAAGACTCACATTATTTCAAGCAATGGCTCATGTTGCAAATGATAGATGACTTGTGACCAATTATATATGCTCTGGAGTTTTTACTGCTTATGACTTCTATGTAACAATGTCCGTCCTTAACACTTCCATCTCTTGAATCCTTATCATCTACCAGCAGAAAGCACTAAATGAAGGGTTAGTGCCCCCCTGTGATTGTCCTGGTTTTAAATTTTACTCTATGACTTTGTAGGTAACATTGATCCACCTTGAGGATAGACCACGACCAGGGGTTTCAGATGTCGTATCAGAATTACAAGATCAAGCAAGGTTCCGAGTAATGATGCTAACTGGAGACCATGAATCAAGTGCATGGAGAGTTGCAAAGGCAGTGGGCATCTCTGAAGTTTACTGCAGCCTGAAGCCAGAGGACAAGCTTAATCAAGTTAAGGGTATCTCGAGGGATATGGGTGAGCGTTTCAATTTTAGTTTGAAATCGCTTTGTGGCCACGTGTTTTCCCGATTCTGGTTTCCATGATTGCTCAAGCAATCTATTTGTAAGGAATGATCTGAAGTTGATGGTTCTCAAGTTATCCTATATTTCTGATTGAATTTGCATATGCATGCAGCCTACAGTGGTTGGCTGAACAGATTTTGAATTTTTATCACAGGGGGAGGTCTGGTCATGGTTGGTGAAGGTATTAATGATGCCCCGGCACTTGCTGCTGCAACTGTAGGGATCGTGCTTGCTCAAAGGGCCAGTGCAACTGCCATAGCTGTTGCCGATGTCCTACTGCTAAGGGATACCATATCTGGTGTTCCATTCTGTATTGCCAAGTCTCGCCAAACAACTTCCCTGGTACTTGCTAGCTTCAATCTCCTTGCCATTTGTTATTTTCTCGGCATAAAGCTCTTGTATCATCATTCATTTCTCACACATACGTGCAGATAAAGCAAAATGTGGCCCTTGCATTAACTTCTATATTTCTGGCCTCCCTTCCATCTGTTTTGGGGTTTCTTCCCCTCTGGTTGACGGTATGATTCTGTTTGATAATCTCCTTTGATGAACCTTATTATCGATTTGTTTCCTGCATCTCTTTGTAGTATTTCTTGTTCTAGGATATTGGAATACTCTTTAGAACATGTTTCAAATGGATCCTACAGAAAAACGATAAACAGCAGTTTTCCATCATGTGTTATTTATTTCAATGAACTTTCTGAAAATTAGCTCACTAGTTGATGTGTCAAAACTGAAAATGGTTAGCTTCATTCTTCCTGGTACCAAAGATGGCATGATGGAAAGTTCTACATTCGGGGAAAGAATGAAGCCAATCATTTGTCATTTTGAAATAGTGTATGCGGTTTGATACTTGAGAATGGTTGGCCAAGACCTCAACTTTTAAGTACCTTGGTTGTCAATCAACAGAACAATGCACAGCTAAAGCCATCTCCATTAGGTGCTCTCAGGTTTCCGTTCATTTTTTCGGTTTTTGGAGATTGCTTTGCTTCAGTTTAAAGTTAATAGTTTATTACTACTATTTACCAAAGGAAAAGGAAAAGTTCATCATTTATTACTGATTTTCATTGGTAAACGTTCAGGTTCTTTTACATGAAGGTGGTACTCTTCTCGTGTGCCTCAATTCCATACGTGCTCTGAATGATCCCAAATGGTCCTGGAGGGAAGACTTGCAGCAAGTTGTAGAGAAACTGAAATCCAGAGTGATGTTGACGATGACAGATGACACAACAAGCTCAAGCACCATGGAGGCAGCACCTTTGTGACTTGTGTTTTTTGTCTAGAAAAGAAAACATGCACAAAACCTGTTGACATTGTAAGGTAAGAGTACAAAGAAAAGAGAAATGTCGGAATCATAGATAGAGGAAGCCATCTATTTTTGCAGAAGTAAATATTTTGCCATTTTATTCCTTCAAATTGTAAAAAGAAGACAGTTTACCCAAATATCTAATGAAGAAGACAGTTTGCCTTTGTTGTGACTGCAATACTGTGGTAGTTAATTAATTATTTGCGAGGTTGTGAGTACCAGAGGAAATAGGAGTTGACTACGACAAGGATAGCAGGAGAAAACGAAATTCTATATATATATATTGGGACGACCTCTCCTATTCCTATCTAACAGATTAATTAATCCAACTAAAAAAAGAGAGGAAGCGTGCATGCATGTTTCGCTAACTGCTAACTGCCATTACTGCAATAATAAATATAGTAGGACTGGGGAAACCGTGTTCGACAGTTTTGTCTTATCAACTTCGTAACCACCTCCTTTCACGTGTTAACAGTCCACTTTCAATCTTTGAAACGAACCAAGAAAAGAGAAAAAACAACCTCCCTTTTCTTGCAATTTTCATGGGACTTAGTTGGTTCAGTTCAGCTGACGAATTTGCGTAGCATGCATTTAAAGATTTCAGTAACAATATTATAGTTGCGTTCCAAACTAACTCGTAAATGGTTCAAATTTTTTGCAGCAATCATGCAAAAAATTTGTTGCTCTCTTTTTGTCCTTTTTGTCTTGCTTTCAGTTCCCTTCCCACCCGCATTCAGGCTGGCTGCTTTCAGTTCTTTTCAGTACCACTCCATTTCTTTAAACATCATTTCATTTCTCTCCTCATAAAAACCATGGGACTTCATAAACCGAAAAAAGAAATATTTAGCCATCCACAGAAATCATTAACAGAAACAAATCCCATTTGAGACAAAAAAACAAACTTGGATTAAAATTTAAAGCAGTTCATTTTTGTTCTTTTCCTTTTTCTTGTTGCAAGTTTTTCCGTTCCCTCGTCAGAACAGAAACAAGGTTGCAAAATGTCTTCTTAATTTTTACCATTTCCTCTTACTCTCTCAAAAGATCTTTCAACATCATGTTGTTCCCTTTTTACCCATCCCTCCCTCCCTCCCTCTCTCTCTGTACAATCCCAAAATTATTCCCTAACCAAAAGAAAAAAAACAAAAGCCCAGTTTTCTCTCTCTCATTCTACTCTGTCCAAATTTCACTTTTTCACTACTCAATCTTACCAACCCCAACCCTATTATTCACTGCAACATTCCTAAACCCATCTCCACTCATACCCTGATAACACATACCCCCAACTACACCACCACTCTGTTCCATCATGTAATTCCTCACTTCCTTCCTTATCATCTCTTGCATCACCGTCATAAACTCTGTACTGAACCCGACAAAACCACAACCCGACAGACCCGCCATTGCCGGGGCCGCCACCTGAGCTGGTGGATTTACCGCCGCCAAAAAGGGTGTCACTGTATTCGATTTGGGCTGCTGAGTTGGCTCGGTGACTCTGTTCTGAGTTGGCTCTGCGACTTGATTGGATACCTCAGAGGAATCCGCACCGGGTAGAGATAAACTCAGCGAGGTACGTGGGTCGTTGTTGTAGTTGTTGTTATCAGACGAGGACGTCGTTTCAGCTGGAGGCAAAACCCCCCGGTTCGGGCAACGGGCCTGTATATATTATAAGAAGAAGATAAACCGGGTAGGCTCGAGTCGCTGACGTCAGATCCAGAGGGGCTGCCCGGGCTCATGTAGAGCCCCATGGAAACAGGAGCACCAGAACCTGCACTCACCGACCTCTTCAACGGCTGCGTATCGTCACCATCCAAATTACCATCATACCCTTCACGAGTGCAGAAATTACCATCATCTGCCATTGAAGAGCACTTGCGTTTAAGAGTGGAGTTCCAGTGGTTTTTAATGGCGTTATCGGTCCGCCCGTTGAGGAGACGGGCAATTGTAGCCCACTTGTTGCCGAAACGAGCGTGGGCTCGGATTATCGTATCATCTTCTTCGGGAGAGAAGGCCCGGTGCTCGACCTGAGGTGAGAGCTGGTTGCACCAACGGAGTCTGCATGATTTTCCTGATCTACCAGGGATTGACTTGCTTATCAATGACCAGTTTCTTGGACCATGTTTTTGAACTAGTTTTTGTAACGCCTCGTCTTCTTCTGGACTCCATGGCCCTTTAATCCTATCCATTTCCTTTCTAGTAATAGCCATACTGAAATCGGTAGGAGTAGTAAATTTTTTTCAGTTAGATGAAAAACATAAAATGAGGTGGTTGTTTTTGGGCTTTCAGATTTTTGCGTTTGTTTTCTTCTTCCTGAGAGGAGGAAGGAGAGATGAGAAAGAGTGGGGGCTGTCGCCTGTGCGTGCTAATAGAGGGTGGTGTGGGTGGTGACTGGTGAAGGGAATTTATATGAGAAAATGGTACACTTATAAAGGAGGGGGTGGGTGACTGGGAGAGACGGTTAGAGGTAGGAGAAGAGAGGAGTTATGGGCACCGATGGTTCGAGGTAAGCGGTTGGGTTTTTTGGGATACAGCTGGCTAAAGTACACGCGTCATGTATTAGTAGCACTGATTTGCATAACTTACTCCCTCTTCTAATCTTTTATCTGTTTCGCTTTTTATGAGTATTGTGGGACTTTAGAAATGGAGTTTCTCTTGAGGAGCGTCTACTGCACTCTCTCTGAGACAAGAAGATGTGAGTGATCATTTGGAGCGTTTAATAATCATGTTGCTTGGACTTTTGGAGCGTTCTTGGATTTTTGAATCTAACATACAAATTTGGGTGCAAAAAAATAACTTATTATTTTGATAAAATTATATTATATTATATGCAGAGAAATTCAATATATTTTTGTAATCATATCATGATCAATTAATCAATTAATTTAAACTCGTAATTATTTTAATTTATTTTATTTGAAGTAACACAAATTACGTTTAAGAATAATTAAGAATTTATAAATTATAAACTTCATAATCTAAGTTGTTAAATTTTTTGCATGGTGAATATTTATATTGCTTTTGTCACAATACATTTAGTGAATTATTATGTAAACATGCCTAGCTGATTTTAAAGAAACTATTTTACTTTTTTAATGAATGTATTACTTTTTTATTTATGTAAAATTTAAAATTGTAAAATGATTTAGAAAATAATATAACAGTCTCGTTATTTTTATATTTTTTCTTTATTTTTTATATTAAAATAGACTAAATTATCAAAAAATATCTAATAATTTCTTTCATTTTAGATAATTTACATTTCTTGTATGCATTATTTTTACTACCCAAATTTTTGAATCAAATGGGCAAAATTTTATAACTTCCTTCTGCTCGCAGATAGGGGAAGAAATTCACTTGTATTCGGTTGAGTGAATGCCAAATTCAGACTTCCTCAAGTGTGGAAATTCGAATGATCAGTTGGAAAGTAATGTACACGCTCCTTGAAATAGCGTAGGATACGGATGCAACCATTTCGATGAAGATAAAATTTCAACAATCGTACATTACTGTTTTGTAAGTTATAGAGACACGCAGAACCATAATTATGTACTTCTCGCTCACTCACCATAATACTTAACCAACAAAAACAAAAAAATAATAAAAAAAATAGAAACCATAATAAAAAATCAAATATCTCAGGATACAGATGGTAACGGTTGGTTGGGTAAGGTTTTATGATGGTTGTTTCTCTCTCCATATTTGACTGAGGACAGCCAGCCTGTATAGCATTTCGTGTGGGATTTTGCTTATTTTCTTTTTAAAAAGGAACGGCTGCACGGAAATTGCTGACCTGGCAAGAAACGACAAATGTGGTCGCCGAATCACAGTGCGAATCATTACTGCTAAATTTTCTTGCCAGCCTGTAAACCTGCCAACGCCCTACTCTTTCCACCACCGACACTTGCCGGTCACCTGCCTGATTTTGCTTCTCGTCTTAACCTGTACGGAACCCGTTAATAATAATCCATTCTAATTGCCTTAAATGCACAGGCTCCCATGTCCAGGGACTTTCCCTTCAGCTTCCTTGTTTAACAATTATATTACTCTCTGCTCTGTTTTATAAAACCAAATTAACTGATTTTTACGAGAACGTCCCCTTGAGAATAGGTTTAATTAATTAAAGTAGTTTAATAATGGTATTAATTATTTAGGGGGACTGTACTGAGCAGAATGCTGGAAGATGATATTTATTAATTAATGTAAAGAGATATGGAAGAGAGATCCGTATCCGTTTCTGTTACTCGTACATCGTTCCTGCTACCTAATACTCTGTAGCTTGGTGGTGTGAGCCTTGCTTGTGTGCTTCCGCTTTTGTTTCTTTGTTTCTTATTGATTACTATATTAGTATTTTGCTTTTTTACAGCCTTGACTTTTGACTTATATTACGGTCGGTTGTGGGCAAGGTTGCTAGATTTTCTGGCCATTAATTTCGGTTTGCCTGCTGCGGGGATTTTTTGGCCATTCCATTGATAATTTAGATTTTAGTTAAGTTAAGGAAAGAAGATAACATGGTTCCTTATTGATGCCATTAAACAATTATAGTTCATTGGATATGTTATCATCTTGTCGTTGATTAGATTCAAGTCTCATTGTATTTTTTTTAACAAAAAAAAGGTAATTGACATCTTATATGAGTGGAAAAAAAAAAAGTAATGGATACTATAAAACATGAAGTGTTGGACTTTAGAGTTTAACGAGGTGATTGCACCTATGTATGCGTATTTAACAGTTTGGATTAAGGCATAATAATGGATTTTTTATTAAAAAAAAATTCACTTCAAAGATCTTATAACAGAATTTATGCAACATGACATTTTTATTTTTCAAGTTAAAAAGTAGTTAGTAAAACATACGAAACACATCAAACTTTCACACCTAGATTAGTTTGAGTTAATTCCTTCGTTGCATGACCTATTTTTTCCCCGTTTTCTACTAGGAGATTAGTTGTGCGTTGTTCTTTGTGATTTATCACATAAATCTCCAAGAGCAAAAATATCAATGACATCCATACAAAAACGCAAAAGAAAAACGTACAACTAATTAAGTGTTTGTGTACAACTTAACTCTCAATTGGAAGGTTTACAAGTATCAATTAGTATTGGATTTCATACATAACATATTCTCAATCCTTAATTTGGGCAATTTAAACTTAAACATTTTAGATGAAAATTCTAAATTTTAAAACACTTGTGATTGTATTTTAAATTTAATAACCACATTCACATCTATATGCATCTTATATACGACATCTTCTCTGTTTATTTTTTAATAATACGAAAATATCATTAGGCCCGTCAAGATTCACAAATTTCATATATATATAACTCAAATAATAATAAATGGTTATGTGACTCTTTATGGCTCAAAATTAACGGTGAGGATTATTGATTTGTAGAGATTCTTTCTACCCTAACTACAAGTAAGACAAGTCCTCCTAATGGATTGAGGACCTTGTGATACTTAAGTCGGTGATTAAAAAAAAAAAAAAAACGAGATATGATTAGGCTTTGTGTGTATCTTTGTGTTTGCAAAAAAGATAATAAATAGTGATATGTAGTAGAGAAAGAGCTAGATTAGAAACCTAAAATCCTTAGTAATTAGAGTTCTTATATAAATGGAACTTTGGCTAAGTTTCATGGTGAAGGCGATAGAAGGATCTATTTCTTAATTGGACATAGTTTCGACATTAAACTAGTGGATCTATACCTTTGATGTGACTTGTTATCTAACGATGCCTACGGTCGTGGTTAGTATCGATTGGACAAGAATAATATTGGAAGAGTGTCTTCATTAAATGGATGTCCTTTTTGTCATAATAACGAGTGGAGTGTATCATCTTCATCTAAACGGATGCCTAGGACATTTATGCATCCTAAGGAAAAGAAGGTTACTCCTCCTTCCGTATGAGAGACATGTTGTTACTCCTTTTAAGCTTCAATTTATTATTGAAAATATTGAGACTCTAATAATCATACTTAATGATGATGCCTCTACCCCTATCCGTAGTGCTCCTACCTAAACTAAGAAGGATCTTTCAACCATCTAGCATTCAAAAAGAAAATTGATGGAGTTTCCATACATAGTTTAGGTACTAATTTTACAAGTGCTTTGTTTTCTTTTTTCTCTATAGAACAACTCTGTTTTAGGAAATAGTTGTTTGGAGATGTTGTTTCTTTAAGGTAAGAAAAAATATTAAAAATTTTTTATCTGCTAAAGGAGATTTCCTAACCTCTTACCGATATAGAGCCTTAGATGAATGTCTTTTTGACCAAATAGATAGAGTATATAAGCCATGTAGTTTACTCTTCCTATAAGTGTATCACTTGACTTTATTAGTTTATTCTTTTTTTATTTATTCATTATTTTTTATTGTGCTACATGGGCTTTTCATGTAGTGTTTCCAAATGCAAGCTCATATTCTCTATAGATAGAAGGTTAAAGGGAAGGAGGTGTTTGGATTTATTAGAATATTTCAATTATGCAACCTTCAGATTAAGGATTGAAAAGTACGGTCCATCTAAGTAGAGATAGAAGAAAGGTTGAAGGACATGAAAAGTCTTTAATGAAAGCACTTCGTGAGAAAGGTGTACTCATTGCTTGGGAGTAAGAGGTAGTTCAAAAGCCACGTGAGGTAAATAAGGTCTTTAGTAAAGAGTTAGATAAGGTATGAGAGAGATAGGATGTTGTGACCCTTGAGAGGGATGTTTCTCAAGAAAGGCAACTTACTTGGAAGCTATTAAAGATCGTTATGATGAGTTTTATGATATGTTTTAAGAAAATTATAGGCTAGATAGTGCATCATTTGATCGGTTGTTGGAGATCCTAGAGGATGTCTACTTCTTCAAAAAGTTTAAAAAGATAGATATTGACCTTTTCTAATGCTTTATTAATTTGCATATTCCTAACTTTGTAGAGCTATACCCTCTTTAAGCATTAACTACCATAGAGGGGAGATATATTTAGGTGTCATTTACTTATCGGGAATGAAAGGTCTAGAATGAGAATGCGGGAATCAAAATGAAAATTAAAGAATCAAAATAGCATTTGTATTCCCATACTTGTGTTTGGAATACTAATGAGGAATCAAAATGCAATTTAAATTTTTTAACAATATGATTTTTTATACAAATAAAAATAATGATTAAATTTTTTTATCAAACTATAATAGTTGTAAAAATAATAAAGG